GCAGGACCCTGAGGGGGAAGGGGGTCTACCGGAGGGGGACCAGGAGCAAGGAAAAGCGGCGGGGGAGGGAGGGGGGCAGTGCGGTAGGGGAAGAGACGGTAAAAGGGGACCGACTCGTCAAAGGTGACATCCTGAGAGGCGAAGACCCGGCGCGAGGTGGGGTGGTAAAACTGCCAGCCAGGCGCGTCAGGGACAAAGCCAAGGAAGACACAGGGAAGCGTGCGGGAGGAGAGCTTGTCCGCAGACGTATCGCGGACAAGGGCACGAGCACCCCACACCCGGAAGCGCGACGCATCGCCAACCTCCCCCGTCCAACGCAGTGTGGGCGAGGTCTCCGGCAAGGAGACACGGGGCCAGAGGTTGAGCTGATGCGCGGCGTACCGGACAGCAAACGGCCACAGAAAATGGGGAGCCGCCGCGTGGACCAAGGAGGTACGAGCGACCTCCATGACCAGGCCAATGCGACGCTCAGCAACCCCATTCTGCTGTGGGGAGTCCGGAAGCGTGAAGGTCTGCTCGATGCCCTCCGCCTGACAGAAGGTCCTCAAGAGATCGGAGGAAAACTCACCACCTCTGTCAGAGTGCAGACGCAGGACAGGAAGATCCGTCCGGAAACGGCGGCGGAGCTGGAGACGAACCGTGCGGATCCAAGGGATCAGAACAGCAGGGACCTCACCCTTGGTGCGCAAGGGGAAGACCGTGGTGTAACGCGAGTAGTCGTCGACAACCAGCAAAAAGTACCGCTCACCGCCCTGACCACGAACGCGGGCTGGGCCCCACACGTCCAGGTGGAGGGTCTCCAGAGGAGCCTCTGTCGGGGGGAACGAGGAGGAGTGAGGGGCGGCGCGCTGCCGCCCCTCGACGCAAGGAAGGCAAGGCGGCGCAGGCGAGGCAGGGAGGGGAGGGAGGGACCTGGGAAGACCGGACACAAGGAGGCGACGGTGCATGCCACGAAGGCGTGGCAAGGAGGGGTGACCCAGGCGGTGGTGCCAGAGAAGAGTCTGGTGCGACAGGGAACGACACTCACAGGCGTGGGCCACCAGACCTGACGCAGACACCTGACCGACAGCAGCTACCTGGGGAGACGCAGTGGTCAGTGTGTAGAGACTCGACCCCGGCCGACGGGTGAACGTAGCCAGGTGACGGCCGGTCCTGGAGCACGTGCAGATCGCCACACGCTGTCCGCCAGGGGTAAAGGTGTCAACCCACTGATCCTGGAGGACAGCGTTGCTCACCAGGTTCGTCGAGAACGAGGGGAGGTGGAAACCCGACAACGAGCCAGACGGAACCGCCGGACAAGGGAGGACAGTGGTGGACTGGGCAAGGACTGGGCCCCCAGAGGGGTCAGCCAAGGAGACTGGGACCGGTGCAGGAAGCGGTGTGAGCTCAGTACTGTCACGAAAGAAGCAACGGGAAGCACCTGAGTCAAGGGTGAAGGTGTGACAAGCCTCAGCCGGTGCGGTACCTGAGAGAGCAGTCGCTGTGGGTGCTGTACCTGAGAGAGCAGACTCGAAACCAGCCGGGACAGCACTGGAGGGAGCAAGTACAGGGGGCACCATACCAGAGAGAGCAGACTCACTAGTACCCAGGGCAGCGGGCTCTATACCTGGGTCAGGCGGCACACACAGGTAACAGTCTCCCTCGGCACTAACAGTCAATGCATACATGGCAGCAATAATAGCATCATAGTCAAGAGCAAAGACATCAACACCAGCCCTCATGAGCTCAGCCCAGCGGGGGCGCTCAACATCCGCACCCATCTCCTCACGCCAAGCGTCGTCAAGGCGGGAGAAGCAGCGGTACGGGGTGTGGAACCTCCCACACGTCTGTCCCTTGCGGTCACCTGTGCGAATGACATAAGAACAGCGGGCACTGGCCCCCGACGTCCCACGCTGAGCAAGCCACTCACGAAGCTGCTGGGTCGTCTGGGGACGCTGCTGCTGCTGGGAGCTCTGGCCAGAGCCAGTGCCTCCACTCCGACCTCCGCCGCCACCACTACCACCGCTCCGACCGCCACCGCCACCACCGCCACCACCGCCACCGCCACCGCCACCGCCACCGCCACTGCCGCCACTACTGCCACTGCTCCCTCCGCCGCCCCCGTCTCCACCACCGACCCCACTCCCACCAGCGCTCCCGCCACCGCTCCCTCCAGCACCGCCTCCCCCCCCACCTCCCCCACCTCCTCCCCCCCCAGCGCCACCACCACCACTTTTGCCCCCCTTGCCCTTGCCGGTGCGGCGCCTCCCACCAGGAGTAGAAGCAGCGCCAACAGACTCAGCACCAAGGAAGTCAACAGCAGCAGCAGCAGCGTAGGAGGGAGCGAGGGGAGAGGGAGAACACCCCTCAAAGATGGGGGTGCGAGGAGCGCCACGAGCAGCACCGACAGCTACAATGCTCTTTTCGGCCGCGAGCAGGTGCTCCTCTAGGAGGGCGACTGTGAGCTCAGTGGGACAGCGAGCAAGGAAGTGGTCTCGAACTGAGCGGAGGGTGTCAGGGAGACGGGTGACTATGAAGTGGAGTGTCCAGTACAGTGGAGGGGGGTTCTTAGCGCAGAACTCGGTGGGAAGGGCGGCACGTAGGCGAGCATCACTAGTGCGAAGGTGGGTGATAAGATCGGCGACTGTAGTAAAGGTGGACAGATCGGGGAACAGGTACGGCAGCATGAGGCGGCTAAGCTCGGCTGTGGCAGGCGAGGAGTAGCGAGCGACGACAGCGTCGTACAGGGCCTTAGCGGATTTGCAGTCGCCAAAATGCTCTAGCTCAGCTAACGGCAGGTGACTGCGAATGGCTAGGCGAGCAGCTGCGTCACGAGTCTGCCAGTGGGAACGAACACTAAGCTCAGCTGTGGCAGGAGGGGCAGGCGCAGCACCAGACGCGTAGTCATAGAGCGACACATGCTCCTTGCTATCGCTCAGGAGAAACAGCTGCAGGTCATCTAGCCAAGCGGTGAAACGCACAGGGCGGCCCTCAGCATCGAACGACAGCACGCGAATGGAAGCCATAGCGACAGAGTAACGCAAGCTGCCGCAGCAGGGGAAGGCGACTGTGCACGGATAGAGAGCAGCGGGCGAGGCTGGCGCTACGGGCAGGCGGCGCTGCAAGCGGTCAGTGCGACGGGAGGGCGACGCTGCGAGCGGGCAGCGCGGCGGACGGGCCGGGAAGCGGGCAGCGCGGCGGGCAGGCGGCGCTGCAAGCGGGCAGCACGGCGGGCGGGCGACGCTGCGAGGCGGGCGGGCCGCAAAGCGGGCAGCGGGCGGGCGGGCGGGCTGCGAAGCGGGCAGCGGGGCGAGCGGGCTGCGATGCGGGCGGGCCGCGAAGTGGGCAGCGAGCGGGCGGGCGGGCTGCGAAGTGGGCGGGCCGCGAAGCGGGCAGCGGGGCGAGCGGGCTGCGAGGCGGGCGGGCCGCGAAGCGGGCAGCGAGCGGGCGGGCGGGCTGCGAAGTGGCGGGCCGCGAAGCGGGCAGCGAGCGAGCGGGCTGCGAAGCGGGCGGGCCGCGAAGCGGGCAGCGAGCGAGCGGGCTGCGAAGCGGGCGGGCCGCGAAGCGGGCAGCGAGCGGGCGGGCGGGCTGCGTAGCGAGCGGGCCGCGAAGCGGGCAGCGAGCGGGCGGGCGGGCTGCGAGCGGGCGGCTCGGCGAGGGGCGCGCGAGGGCGCTAGTGAGGGGCGCGCGAGGGCGCTAGTGAGGGGCGCGCGAGGGCGCTAGCAAGGGGCGCGCGAGGGCGCTAACAAAGGGGCGCGCGAGGGCGCTAACGAAGGGGCGCGCGAGGGCGCTAACGTGGGTGCGCGCGAGGGCGCTAACGAGGGTGCGCGCGAGGGCGCTAACGAGGGCGCACGAGGGCGCTACGAGGCTAGGGCACGGGGTAGCGTGGTAACCGCATGCGAGCGGTGGTGGGCCCTAAAAAAAAACGATCGGTAGGTCCTAGGGACCTCCTGCTCTGAATACCATGTCAGAATCACTAGGCAAGAATGAATGAACTAGTAGAAGTTTGGGTACAAATATGAAACCCTAGTTGGGGTTGTACCCCATATTGGCTACCCCACTACAGCCTACAAGCATACTACAGTTTAACAGGGATGCGGTAGCATAGGGTTCGGGTCAATTCACTGTTACGCATTTCTATCATGCTATGCATTTATTTCACTACACTAGTCTTTTTATCGAAATATATACTACTATATATTCACTACAATATCGCATGCATTATATTTATGCATTTGGCATTCTATAATTATTTAACCGCATCCATCATTATACTTCATCTACGCATAACATCACCCATCATTGCAGTACAAAATAAACAGTAAAGATTCACTATGAAATAATAACGAAGATGGTACGGCGCGTGCTAAATTGCCGTCGCATTATAAAGCAGTAAGTCACTTAATTACTGTACTGTTCACTAGATTTTCTTCATATTTTTTTTAGTGCGCAAAATGAAAAAAAATTGTACATAACGATTGTAATAGGTTGCTTCGCAACCCAAAAACATAACACCACCCAACTTTCAAGTGGACCCAACTAGAAGGGGGGGGTCACTATTTTAGCTGCTGGCTTTAAGAGCGTGTTCCTACGGCCTCATATCAGGCAACCTCGTATCAGATTCGCGACCGAACCGCACTTAAACGCATGCAACCTTAATCGTATTTTACCACGCGAAGCCTGATACGAGGTATACGAGGTGTAGGAACACGCTCTAAGAGAAATCGAATTTATTGTAAGCGCACATGCGCTACTATCCGGGGCCATACGGTATGTTTAAATCACTCTCAACCGTGGAACCTGTGGGAGGGGTCTGCATTCGGCAAAAGACCCCAGCAAATTCCAGTTGAAACCCTCCCCACCCCATCACCCAACCCTGTTGACATAGATTTATAGACGAGATTGATGTATTTATACGCATATGGAATGCTGCAACATGCCTGCACAAGCTGTAGAAATCAAGCTTATACAACACCACACTGCCTAATTGTCACTAAGATCCATGCAATGCAGCTATGAAATCACCCCACATCAGCTACACCACCCCATGTAACCTTCCTCTTCTGTCCCTTCCCCCCTCCCCTCTCCTTCCGCCCTCTCTCACTGCTATCCTGCACCTTGGCCCTCCCTACCACTGTATCTACTATATCATCCTCGCCCTCATCATTTCCATCACCCTCCTCTTCATCCTCGTCTTCCTTGCCCCTCTCTTCCACTCCCTCCTCACCACCAGCAACATTCTCACACTCCCTACCTTCTCCTTCCGTGTTCCCTCCTACCATCAGCATGTTCCAAGCATTTTGAAAAGCTGAACTTCGTGCAGACCGTTTCCCTGATGGCCCCAGTTCGCGTGCCTTCCTTTTCAGCCCAGCCTGCTCCACCGGTCTCTCCTTCCTTCCCGATGCCTCAACCTCTACACTGTGCCCCTCCCCTCTCCTCCTTTTCGCCTTCCCAGTCGCAACACCTGTACCCCCCCCCATGGCAGTGGATCGAGCAGCATCCACCCCATCCTCGCCAGCAGGAGCGGCAGCACGAGCACACGCAGCAACAGCAGGAAGAGTAAAAGGAGGCTGTGATGCATACCCCTGCTGTGGCCAGGCCGGTATGACTGGAGGAGAAGCAGACTGGGAAGGGAAGGCATGGGAGGATGGGTGTGGTGGAGGTGGGAAGGGAGGGACGGGCATATATGGATAGGGTGGGTAAGGAGGGGGATATGTTTGACATGCCGGGTAAGGGGGAAGGGCTTGGGTAATCTGAGGGGCTGTAGTAGGGGCACCAACTGGGATCAGAGACTGTGTAATTGTTGATGGAGGCTCTTGCTGTTGCTGCTGCTGTTGGGAAAAGAGAAGCTCTTGCAGTTGCTGCGGCAACTGCTGTTGCTGTTGCTGCTGAAGCTGCTGCTGCTGGGGTAAAAGCAATTGTTGCAACTGCTGCAGTAGCTGCTGCTGCTGCTGTTGCTGCTGGCGTTGCTGGGGTAAGAGCAGTTGCTGCAGCAACTCCTGCTGCTGCAGCTGCTGTTGCTGCTGCTGCTGCTTCTGGGGTAAGAGCAATTGTTGCAACTGCAGTAGCAGCTGGTGCTGTGGCTGCTGCTGCTGCTGCTGCCGTTGCTGGGGTAAGAGTAGCTGTTGCATCTGCTGCAGCAATTGCTGCTGCTGCTGGGGTAAGAAAAGCTTTTGAAACAGCTGCAGAAGCTGGTGCTGCTGTTGCGACTGCTGCTGGGGCAACATTAGCTGCTGCAGCAAATGCGGTTGGCGCTGCTGCTGTTGCTGCTTCTGAAACCATGGGGTCTCCGCTGCTAGTGTGCCTCCTGCTGAGGTACGACCAGCCACCACTGCTCTAGCAGTTGCTGGTGTGAATATCTCTGCTACTGGAGCTGCTCCTGCAGCCGCTTCATTTGTTCCTACTGCTGCTGGCACTGCTGCTGCCGTAACTGTTGCTGCCGGCACTGCTGCTGTTGGCACTGCTGCTGTTGGCACTGTTGCTGCTGGCACTGTTGCTGCTGGCACTGTTGCTGCTGGCACTGTTGCTGCTGGCACTGCTACTGCTGGCACTGCTGCTGCTGGCACTGCTGCTGCTGGCACTGCTGCCGCAGGTACAGGCGGCCCTTCTCCAGCGACAGGCCATGTTCCCAGGGAGGGCAATGAGCGGTAACTGGGGGCAGCAGGCTGCAATGAGGCGCTGAGTGGGCGCGGCAGCAACGGATGGAGGCAGGCGGCAGGTGGGCGAGGAGTGGTGGACGATCCACGCTGCCATGGGCCATTGGGAACTGCCTCATACCCACACATGCCTCCTGCACGCACCTCTTGCTCACAGCCAGAGCGCCACTGCTGCTGCTGCTGCTGCTGCTGCTGCTGCTGCTGCTGCTGCTGCTGCTGCTGCTGCTGCTGCTGCTGCTGCTGCTGCTGCTGCTGCTGATGTTGCTGCTGTTGCTGCGGCTCTGGTGTTTGGAGTGAAGGCAGTGCGCCACTGTTATCAGTGTCGCCACTATCATCACCGCTGTCACTATCCCCTTCGCCCGTTCGTCCTCATCCTCTCCGCCACCACCTCCCTCGTCACCGGACGACCACAAGCCATCCCACTTGCCCCCCTCCACCGAGTTTGCCGCTCCTCTCCCCGCTCCCTTTCCTCCCTTTCCTCCTCCGTGCTCTCCTCCTCCTTCGCCTACTCCCTGCCCTGTTCTCGCCTGACCCTGCCCCCTCCCTCCTCTCCCACCCACACGTGTCCCACCTTCGTCTTTTCCAATCTTCCTTCCTCCATCCAGTTCACCTGCCTTGACCCGCCTCCTCCACTCCGCATCCTCCTCCTTCCATCCGCGCCGCCCGCCTTTCCCAGGCCGGTCCTCCAGAGGGTCATAGTAGTACAGCGTGTTGAACAAGAAATTCCTCCACACTCGACCATCCCTCCTAGCAACCCTTTCCCCTCCCCCAGCCCCCTCTCCCCCTCCAGCACCACTCCCTGCCACCCCACCCCCCTCTCCCTCCGCACCCTGCCCTACGAATCCCCCCTGCCCCGTTCCCCCCATGCCACTTTCCTGCGGGAGCATCTGGAGCCACTTGCACCACTTGTGGCCCTGCCGCACGCGCAAGCGCACGCGCCACCTCTCCCCGTCCAGGGCGCGCAGCAGCGCCCTCACGTCGCGCCCATCCGCCCACTCCTGCAGGTCGATGCCCGCCTCTATTGCTGACTCCACTGCCCCTTCTGCCCACTCTGCTGCCTCTGCTTTCTGCTGCTCCTGCTGTGTGTCTCGCCTGTCCCTCTGTCGTGCTGTGGAGAGCAGCTTTGTGTGCGCCGACGCCTCCATTGTCCACACCACCTCTGTCTGTGCTGTTCGCCACTTCTTCTGTCGCTTCCTGGCTGGCCTCTGCTGCTGTGCAGTTGGTTGGGGCAGATCCGTTGAGAATGTGTTGCCAGCAGCGGTAGTGTGGAGAGCATCAGCAGCACCAACAGCAGCACCAACAGAAGCACCAACAGCAGCACCAACAGCAGCAGCAGCAGCAGCACCATCAGCAGCAGCAGCGGTACCAGTGAGCATGGCAGCAGAAGGCAGTTGGTGGAGGCCTGAGATGCAGGTGGGATGGATGTCCCAGCGTTGCAACAAGGCAAGCATCCACTCCAGGGTCAATACGGATGACGAGCAGGGGGAGGAGGGGGGTTGGGGGCGCACGGATGTGGTTTGAGGAGAGGAGGATGGCGCAGAGGAAGCCGTGCTGCACTGCAGGTGCAGGCGATGGGCAAAGAGCTGAATGGAGGAGGCAGAGACGGTCACAGGGCGCCACACGAGTGGCACTCTCCTCTCTTCCCATGCGCACTCCCGCTGCGCCGCCTGCTGCCACTGCAGCCTTTCCAAGCGCCTCTTGATCCACTTCGCCAACACCCCCTCCCTTTCTGAGGCCCCCTTTCTGTGTCTCCACAGCTTCCATGCCTCATCCTCCTTCTCCGCTCTACTTATTCCATTCCATTCACCTTTCTCCCTCTCGCTCTCTTTCTCCCTCTCGCTCTCTTTCTCCCTCTCGCTCTCTTTCTCCCTCTCGCTCTCTTTCTCCCTCTCACTTTCCCTTTCCATCTCCCACTTCCTCTTCTTCTCCCTCTCCATTTCCTTCTCCTTCTCCCTCTCCTTTTCCATCTCCAGCTCCCTCAACCTCTTCTTCTCCCTCTGCCTCACCTTCTCCCTCTCCCTCCACCACTCCTTCTCCCTCTCCCTCTCCTTCTCCCACTCCCTCTCCCTCTCCCTCTCCCACTTCCTCTCCCTCTCCCTCTCCCTCTCCCTCTCCCTCTCCCTCTCCCTCTCCCTCTCCCTCTCCTTCTCCTTCTCCTTCTCCTTCTTCTTTTCCTTCTCCTTCTCCTTCTCAGTCTCCTGCTCCTGCTCCTTCTCCATCCCTCTGTTGCCATCCCCCATTCCTCCCATTCGCCTTCTCTCCACCCCAACCCCATCATAATCCTTCCTCCCCACATTCTCCCCACCACCCATTCCCCTTGCCTCCCGTTCTGCGTGTGCAGGTTGACAGCTCTCAAGGACCTCTTTCCCCCTCACTGCTGGGACTGCTCTTTCCCCCTCCTGCTGCCACACGTGCTGCCACAGCATGGCGCGGCATGCATCCACGGCATGCACCAGCTTCGAGCACCAGTTGTACGACAGCTTGAACTCCGGAAGCACTCCCACCAGCGGCCCAATCCGCCTCGCCACCTCGATAATCACCTCTTTCCGCATCACATACTGCATCCTCGTGCTTCCCCTGCCTCTCCCAGCAGGCAGCGCAGCAGTGGAAGAGGGGAGCGCAGGCCAGGAGAGGTGTTCCCAGTAGATCTTGATGGCAGCGCCAATGTCCTCCAGCCACCGCGCCAGGGCCACCTCCAGCAGCCGCACTGCCTTGATGCGCGGCCTCTTCAGCATCGCCACTCTCAGACCCACCGGCAGCTGCAGCCAGCGCCGGCGCTCACACAGGATGGCAAACAGCACGTTGGGGCTCAGCTGCACGTTCCACGCCTGCTTCACTGCTTTCAGGATCGACTTCAGCCGCACGCCCGGCCGAGCCTGCACGACGAGGCACAGCGCACGCACACGGCTGAGCGTGATCCCTTCCAGTACCACTGGCCCCTCGCCTGCCCCCTTGCTGCGCTTGTGCCGTGGAGGGCGCCACAGGCACATGAGCCCCTCGGCATCGTCCCTGTCCACGCTCTGGTCGCTGGCAGCAAGGTCCTTGTGCCTCCTTGCACCGTCCTTCTTCCCGGCTACGTGCTTGAACTCCGGAGGCGGAAACTGTGAGCAGCAGCCAGAGGCGCGGATGAAGAGTGGCTGAGTGGGCAGCATGCTGCGGTAGTTGGGACCCATGCATGCCACGCGACGGGAATACCGCTGGCCCCACAAGCTCACCGATCCGCCCCCTGCCCTCTTCTCCCCCTCCTCCTCTCCCCTCTTTTCCTCCCCACCCTCTCCCCTCTTTTCCCCCTCGCCCTCTAGCCTCTTCTCCCCCCCTCCCTCTGCCCTCTTCTCTCCCCCACCCTCTGCCCTTTTCTCCCCCCCTCCCTCTACCCTCTTCTCCTCCCCACCCTCTCCCCTCTTCTCCTCCCCACTCTTTACCCTCTCCTCCCCCCCACCCTCTATCATCTCCTGTCCCCCATGCGCTACCCTCTGCCCCCCCCCACCCGCCGCACCGTGCACATCGCCCAGACCCTCCCGCCTCTCCCCACGTCCCTCGTGCCCTTCCCCGATGCCATCCCCCTTGGGAGCACGCCTGCGCCTGCCCATGCGCGAGCTCATGACGTCGAGGTGGTGCGCCCACACCATGCTGCCGCGCCCCACGGGTCCCTTCACCAGCACCTCCGAGTCCACCACTGCTTCCTCCACCACGTCTCGCCGGAACTCCCTCACCGTCTCCCTCGCTGCGTGCTCTGCAGCAGCCAGCACCGTGTCAAAGTGCCGGTCCCCTACCTCCACCTCCACTAGTCGCTCCTCCCCCCCCCTCACTCCCGCCTTCCCTCCTTTGTATAACTTCGCCCCTTCGTCGCTCTCCTGTGCCCTCTCCTCCTCACTCCCCTCCTCACTCTCATCCTCTTCGCTGCTTGAGCTGTCACTCTCGCTCTCCTCACTGCCCTCGCACTCGCCGTCCTCCCAGCCACTCACCCATGTCTTTCTCGCCCAATTTATGTCCCAAGCGTTTGCTTGAGCCTTGTAGACAGCCGGCCTGTTCCAACCACTTCCCTTCCGCCCCTTCCCTGCATCCCGCACACCACTAGCGCCGTAACCACCGCCGCAACCACCACTACTACCACCACCATTGCCACCACCATTGCCACCACCATTGCCACCACCATTGCCACCACCACCCTGCAAAGTCCTCTCACCTTCCCTGCCGTGCTGCGAAAGCCGTTTATCAACCCCAGCACAAACCACGTTCATTTCGCCACAGCCATCACCACCAGCATCCCGCACACCCCCTTTTTGCCCATCCTCGTCCGCCTCTACTTTCACCACCACCCCCTGCACTGCACTCATATCCCCTCCCCGCCCCACTAATCCTTTCCCGCCCTTCACCGTGCTCCTCTCTCCCGCGCCCTTGCCACCTCCCTTCCCCACCCCGCCCTGCCTCCCATCCTCATCCCCACAGTCCTCACCCCCGCTCTCACTCTCCTCCCCTGCCCCTTCCGCCCCACCCGGTGCCCTCTCAGTGAGCGGCAGCAGCAGCAGCCCATAGCGCCGCATGAACGCCGACACCCATTTCTGCGTCAGGGGGGCTTTCACCCCCGCTAGGTACTTAGGCGCGAGAGCATGCGCGCGCGCTAGAATGCGCTCCACCGTCGCCTGTCTCTTCTTCTCCTGCTCCTCCCTCAGCACCCACGCGGCCACCTCGTCCTCCAGTCGCACCAGCTCCATGCTGCCCGCGGGGGTGCCGCCCGCTTTGATCCACTTGCGCTGCTCGCGCGCGATCTTCTGCACCTTGCGGGGGGACACGTCCACGCCGTGCTTGGCGAGCACCACGGCGGAGATCACGGTGGCGCTCACGTGCGGGCGCAGGCAGCGCAGCACGGCGATCTCGTACTTCACGCGCACGTCCATAGGCGGCCGCGCGGCCTGCGCTGGCAGCGAGAAGCGCGTGGGCCTGTTCTTGGAGCCCAGGAACGGGTGCCTCCACTTCCCCTCCATCACAGTCCGTTCTGTGCCTGCTCCTTCGCCAACCTGTCCGCCACCCTCCCCGCCACTGCCACCCTCCCCGCCAGCACTGTCACTCTTGTAACGCATTGCCCTAACAAGCTCGCCGACCAACTTCCCTCTAGTCAAATGTCGAGAGTTTTCTCGACAAGGACGGACTTGGAGAAGAAGGGGATTTGGTTGGGATGTTAGGTTTGGGTTGGTTTTCCAAACCTCAACCAAGAGGATTGGGAAACTCCAACCCATCAAAGTTGAGAATTGAAGGTTGGATAATCAACCAATCAGAAACTGTCAATTAAGTGTTACAATCTTCTCTATCCTAAAAACAACCATACAAATGCTTCTAAGTTGGGTTTTCCCAACCCAACTAATTGTCACATAGGCTCCAAGCCTAGGAACCCTCCCACCATGGAAGCCATGGTTGGGAGAGTTCCCAAAGGGGTGTATTGAGGGGGTTTGAGCTTCCAAGTTCATTCTTCACCTCCCACTCCATCTAATCAATTGGAAATGGAATTATTTGGCTAAGTCCTTTTGGCTCTCTCACAAGCCTCCCTACACTACTACTCTGCTAGAAAGGCATAGTGCCAGTGTAGTGGAAACTTGTTTGTAGAAATCAACAAGATAGAAATCTTGCATAAGAGCCAGGTTGATCATTGAATTGTAGAATGATGGAATGATATAATGATCAATGGGGTTCTTATGCAAGATTTCTATCTTGTTGATTTCTACAAACGCGTTTCCGCTACGCTGGCACTATGCCTTTCTAGCATGGTATCAGAGCTACTCTAGGGGGCATGCTGCCAAAATTGGTTCAGGAATTAACAGATTAGGATAGGTGCATACAGTCAGAGTATCTGGGCTACGTTGCTGTATACCTGGTGTTTGGTTTGCTACGTTACTGCAAGGAGGTCGGCCACCCCTTCTTCAAGTGCACCAAGCCACCCCCTGGTTGGTCACCACCAGGGTGGGAACCGCATACCAGCGGAAGGTCAAAACTGCACACCGGCAACAGTCGTTCGTTCTCTCCACGAAGGAGTCACAGCCCCAAGCGTGACAACGATGCGTCAAAACAGCAAGGGGCAGCCGGGGGAGACAACCAACGTACTGTCACATGCATTGCAATGGTGCAATCTTCACAAGCACCCTTACTCTCGGCTAGAGGATCGTCGTGGTTGCTGGGCAGCGGATGCAGCCAGCACATGACTTCGGACAAGTGGTGGTTTGAAGAATTGAAGGAGCTGGACGAACCCGTTTATGTGGAGCTCGTTGATGGGAGCCAGTTGAGCAGCATGATGACGGGAACGATCAGAGCAACAGCACCTAATGGGACAACAGTTCGGTACACTGAAGTCCTATACGTACATACCTTGAAGAACAACCTGCTCTCCTATTGTCAGCTGCTAAAGAAAGGGGCTCACATCAACACGGTTGCTGATGGAGACACCGAAATCACCATGGCTAATGGAGATGAGTGTGTGCAGATTGGACTTGGCAAGGATGTTGATGGAGTGCTTATGGTGGAATATGAGCCGACACTTGCATCTGCTCATGATCCTGGGCATTCCCGTGATGATGCGTCATCAAAGAAGCATGGATGTGAAAGGGGTACATCTTTCCGCACACCTGGAGTGCGCTTGGATACACGCGGGAGCGCGTTTTTCCGCACACCTAGAGTGCAGACGAGTACCCATTCTGCATACCGCATGGCACACAACGCTTGTGTTGTGCGGAATTCGGCACGTAAGGTTGACACGGACATTGACTCACCGCGACCCTTTGAGGACATGCTGCTGGACGCTGGGTCTTTTCTTACACACCAGCATCATGACGATGAAGTCTCACCCCACATTGCGGTGTGGACTTCAGGGGGAGAAGGACAAAGGTTTGTGGTGGATATAGGATGCGATGGAGCAGACTCAACCAAACAAGATGTACCTGGAATTGATGCAGCTGATGAATTCAGTGAAGCCAAAGCAAGCGTGGGTGCTGCAGCAGATGACTTAACTGCAGCGGATGACTTAACTGCAGCGGGAGTGACTGTACTAGAGGCGGTTGAAGATTATGATGTGGGAAACAACGTGGGATGTGCAACAACGGGCATATCATCTGGTGATAATCGTCAAGTCAAGGGTGCTGGTGTTGTACTCACCTGTGCGGCCTCCTCCAGCTATGCTGCACATCATGACATCACCTAACTCCGCCCTCACTCATGTGCTCGCAGCTGTGTGCACGGTTATGTACATGGCTACAAGCACATGGGTGGGTGGGGGGGGGGGGGGGGGAGTTAGGGCGTGGAATGTTTCTGGTGGCACTGGAGTGGGACATGGAGTCACGAAGCATAAGGGGAAGACCTGCTCACCTGCTCAAGTGTAGCCAATAGACAGGGGGAGCAGGCAGAATGGATGCAGCCGGCCACCATCCCTCGTCCTCTGATGCAACGGTATTGTGCGGCTGGTTGCTGCTGATGAATGATACCATCTGAGGGAAGAATGGAGAATATACACGGGAGCACGCATTACTGCATACCTGGTGTGCACGCTTCTGCATACCTGGTCCTCCATTTCTGCATACCTAGTGTGCACAACTCTGTTTACTTGGTGTGCACTGCATAATGGGAATGGACATTTCTACATACATGGAGTGAAGTTCTCGGCATCCTTTTAGTGCGCAACCCTCCAGCTAATGTTACCGTGTTTCGACTGGAGTATAGGGGGAGCATTACAAGAAAACATGGGTGAAGTTTGAGCGGACTTGGCATCATCCTTTGGTGTGGATTCAAGACATGGACAACTTTGTGCGATCACAGCACGAGGCAGGGGGGGAAAGACAAGGTTTACGGAAACAGGCAGGGGGAGAAAGGTTCACGAAGATGCAGCAAGCGCGGACAGGAAATTGCAGCAGCAGACACGCGCCAGATCGTCAGCTGCTGACGAACGCCGTCGCTTCTATCGTGCAAAGTGTGCGCCTGCCAATGTAGTTCCGTGCGAGCAGCACGCCATGTGTCATCCGCAACCGATTCGCGTCATCCGCATTTACAGTCGCAGCAGACGCGCGTGCGGTTGTGGCGTCGTCGCGCAGCGGACGTGCGATATAGTGAGCAACTGTGGCGAACGAGAATCTTAAAGGCTACGGTTTCATACATTCGGCGTGCGCTAAGGGCATTCCGCCTTGACGATACGCGCATTCCGCCATGGTTACGAGGAGATTTCGGCATGGAGCTGCTACGATTTCCTCAGCAGCAGCCATTATTCCCTAGATCCAGATATGGAATGTCGAGATTAGAAGGAGGGATTGGAAAGCGTGAGGGAAGGTGGTTTGGTTGGAGTTTGGAAGCATCAAGAGTTTGGGAAGGGAAAGGTGCTACAGTGACAGGCAGCTTGGTTAACACCAAACCCTAGTTTGGTTTGGGCGCACCCCTACCGTGTGGTGGTACACCACCTCGACCACCCCATCCTCCAAGAATTCACTAAAACCTACAGCAAGGGGGAGTGTTGGAAATCCGAATACAATATAACGATTACTGTATACTGGTGTGCTGTTCGGTTTTAGTGTAGTCCTCTTTATAAGCCTCCAGGGCCTACAATAATTGTCACAGTTATTGTAGGGTCACAATTATTGGAGCTCAGCATTATTGGAGGGTAGAGGGTACAATTATTGGTACACCATTATTGGTGTGATTGGGGTCATTCTAGGAGGGGTAGCTGGATGCATAAATACCCTGCCTGCTGTGTGTCACTCGATCATTAAATCATTCTATTTTTCAATGGTCAACCTATTGGAATTGCAAGTTTTCTAACTTGTTCTTTCTACAAACATGTTTCCGCTACGCTGGCACTATGCCTTTCTAGCATACTCCAAGTGTTTTTCATCAAAGGCATCAAGACGATCTTCATCTCCAAGGCTATTGAAGCTAGCTAGGGCTACTATCTTGTATTGGATCATTATAAAAGCCTTCTAACCGCCATTATAACAGCCTTGTGTTGGAACTAGAAGCAAGAATGATTGCATTGAAGAGAATGTGGGTACAAGTACTAACCCTAACTTTGGGTTGTACCCCATATGGGCTACCCCACTATAGCCTACACAGAACTAACACACATATATAGTTTAACACACCCCCATAGGCAAAGTGGGGGAGAACAAGGGGTCACAAGACCAGTCAAGAAAAGCAAAGCAAGCCCAGGGTGGATCACAACGTCACCACACACTCTGAGCACAAGTAAAGGGCCACAAGGCCAGTTCACATGCAGAGGTATATATGCAACAACAACAATACAGTGATCACTACCTAGCAGGAGTAGGCATGCAGGTATATAATATAGATCACAGTACAAACAAAGTCAAGAGGTAAGTAAGTGAGCATACACTGGCACCAGGACTAAAGCTGTGCAAAAGCGCTGATGGTCACAAGGCGGAAGTATCTTGGTGAACACATCAGCAGAGTTGGCTCTGATGGCCACGTAAGAAACACGAAGCTGACCACGCTGCTGCAGCTCTCGAGCAAGGACGTGACGCAGAGCGATGTGCTTCGTTCTGTGCTCCAGTCTGTGCTCCTGAAACAAGGCAATAGCAGCCTTGTTGTCTACGTACAGAACTGGAGGAGAACAAGGCCTCTCTCCCAAGTCGGTCAGCAGGTAGGTGAGCCAGCGTAACTCCTGAGCAGCCATGGCTGTGGCGTAGATCTCAGCCTCACAACTGGAGCTGAGAACAGAAGACAAGCGTGTGTACCGCCGAGAAACAGAGTCGGAGCCAAGGCTGAACATGTACCCCTGCGACGACCGCTGCGTAGCCAGGTCGTCGACCCAAGAAGCGTCAGAGTGTCCAGTGAGGACAACGTCACCCCGTCCTCCAAGCACGAGCCCCATGCCCGATATACTGCACAAGTAGCGTAATACCCTCTTAGCAGC